GGCAGGCATGACATCATTCCGGTGGTGACCGAAGAGTGGATCCGTTTGGAGGACTACGAGTTTCACTGTTGCGTTCAGCCCGAAGACTTCGAAGCCACGCGTATACTGAAGCTGATCCCACCGGACGCGTGTCACTTCGAGCTGATGCGGTACCGCATACGGCCGCCGCGTAATCGGGAACTGCCGCTACAGGTGGCCGCCAGTATGAACATAACCAAAGCACGGGTGGAGATCAAGTGCGATGTGTTAGTGCCCGGATGTATATCCAGAAAACACGGTCAGATACCGTGCGAAGACATACAGATCCGCTTCTATATACCCGAGTGTTGGATATACTTCTTCCGCACCGAAAAGCACTTTAGATACGGAGCCCTCAAGTCTGTCAATAGGAGGGCCGGCAAAGTGAAGGTAAGGCCGCGCGACACACATCATATCCAGTCACTCGTGATATACTAAATGCCAATAAATTTAACACACATTTTTAGGGCATTGAGAGACTGTTGGGCACAACACAGAATCCGGAGCCACAGATGATCGAAGTGACCGCAGGTCAGGCCAAATACGAACACGCATTCCATTCAATTGTATGGAGAATACCACGACTTCCCAAAGAAGGACAGGGTTTGTGTTTCCCATTATATAACACTATATTGTTAACTGTAGTATTGTGACAATCACCATAATGGTTGACCATGTGTGTTGTACAGGTGCGTACACCCAGCAGTTTCTGGTGGTACGGCTACCGCTGACGTCCTTTGACCAAATGCCGGAATCCTTCTACGAGTTCGTTCACATCGAGTTCCGGATGCCGTCGACAACTGTCTCGCACACCACTCTTCGCTCAATATCGGTGACCAATGAGAACCCGCCCGAAAAGTTTGTCCGATATTGCGCTAAATATGAGTATAAAATTGATCTAAACATCACGTATGATGAGGAGCAAGAGAAGCCCCAGTACTCGGCCAACGTTCACGGCGGGCCCCAAGCGGTCACCGGTGCCCGAAAACCGTCGGACCCGTCGGACAACAACGAGAATATCGCCCAAAATGCAGATTCTGGGGCCAAGAGTGACACCGAAGACAGCGACGACTAATTTGTAGTTTATTATTAATAATATTAATTATACGATAAATACTGACAATAAATGCAATAATTATACATTTATTTTGAGGGCATTTACGGGGGAAAAAACAGGGAAGGGTTGGTATAGTTTCCGTTTCATTACAAAAACCCAATACAACTGTGTTTTGTGTTACACCTATTTTTGCCTGTTTTTTACATAGAAGTTGTTATAATACTAGAACTCAATAATTATAATTACATTTAACTAAATGTTTAAGTTTTGGATTTTTGTAATTTGTGTTCCAGATCACTTATTAACTATAAAAACAAATGCAACAAATCATAACAGTGTATGAAATATTACCCACAAAACAAAACAACTGTTAATTTTATGTTTAACTGAATGTTGAAGTGATTTATAATTTCTCAGCCAATAGATAGTCAACTAATAATAATAACAACACTCTCTATATATAAGTAATAACTTAATTGTGAGAAACAATTAATAAATTGTTTAACATATGTATTGAGATTATTGTCAGATCACAACAATTTAATTTCATTGTCAACTAAAACATGGTTTGTGTGTTATTTAGCATAATATGTATCTCAACGACAACTCAATACAAGTGTATAAATTAATTAGATCTCAAACTATGGTATATTTGTTTCTCATTTATTAACACACAATTGATATCTATTAACGAAAAATTAATAACAATTGCGATTAAGTTTAACTCTTAAAGTATATAACGTATGAAAAAATGGTATTTAAAAATATTATATAAACATTGGATATAAAACAACATTTAATTTATATATAAATGTACCCAAAAATATATAAACAGTAGAAATTAAGAGATTTTTTGAAATTATATAATCGGTTGTAATTATAAACTTATATTAATTTCAACATTAGTTTATCATTTTGTAAATTTATTTTTGTTATTTATTTTAAACAAAAACACAATAAATTAACTAAACTCTCATATCGTGCTATTGATTGACAAATGAATTCAATAAATCTAATAATAAACGAATGGATAAAAACATTAAACAAAATATAAAAAGTCAACAAATAATATAATTATAAAAATAACAAATTTTGTTAAATATATTATTAATGTATTTGTTTATAAAAATATATATAATATATATAAATGAGTTCTAATTAATAGAAAATTAATTAAAGTTTTGTTTAAAAAATACTTGTCCATTTGATTTAGATATTTATGTTGTTAAATGTCCCGGATGTTCAAAAGGTACAATAGTTGGCATAATTATTAGGTAATTAGAGTGAATAAAACTTGTTTGATGTCAACGTTTATTATAATTCTTGACAATTGATATAAAACTGAGATTAAATAAACATCTAATATATTATTTTGAAAATTTTATACAATTTATTATTATTCAAACTATTATATAATTATTAATAGAATTTCATTGAATAATAACAAACAAAATATCTATTGTATGAATGAATACAAAGCAATGCTTTTACTTAAACATAAAGAAAAATATATTTGTCTTATCGTCAAAATAATCAGTTAATAGTTTTTCCATTACTAATGATTTTATTAGAAACTATTATTTAAATTACTCTCAAACCAAAACTTAATAAATTATTTTACGTTAAAATTAAATCATTTCATTTTTGACAGTTTTGCATATTTGCAACTTTATAAGTAAAGTTAAATTATATATTTTAATTTGTTTCCTTTGACTAATCACATGAT